GCGGCCGCGGCCCCGCGGCCCGGGCTGCGCCGCCACCGCCGAGGGCTGCCCCGAGCCCGCCCTGCTGCGCGCCGCCGAGAGAGCCGCCCAGTTCGCGGGGGACGACTTCGCCTACGCCGGCCCCGAGCTGGGCGGCGGCGCCCTGGGGGTGCAGCTCACCTGCGACGTCAAGCCAGGTGCGGGCGGCCTGAGGGGGGCCGGGAGGGCGGGAGGGTTCCCCCGGGGTCGCTGCAGGCCGCGGCGGCTCGGCGTGGGTGGCCGGCCGGGAGCCGTCGTCGCCGGGCGCTGGGTCGCCTCACGTCTGGCGGGAGCGGGCTGAGCCCAGGGGCTTGAGCGCCTCAGGGAGCCCGGCCACAGGGGCGCCCGGCGGGTACAGGGGGTCTCAGCTTTGGGAGGGGAGTCCGCGCTGGTCTCTGCGGTGTGAGGGGTGTGAGAGCTGCCCCGGCTCCTCTCCCCTTCCTCTCCCCTCTGCACACACACGTCCCCATAGGAGACCCACGGCAAGTGAAACGTGGCAAAACTCTTTTTAGCGCTGTTTTTTAAACAAGCGCAAGACCTCTAACCATCTCTCTCTTCACAGTCTGGTATTTCTGGGGGTTTTCATTTATAGCAACATTGTACAATGCTTCAGTGGGGGGTGTGTGTAGGTTCCACACCCAGGATGAACAGTCTGGTGCCACTGCTAAGAAACCTGCTGCTGCTGACATTGCCTCCTGTAATAGCCAGCAAAAAAGAAACCCAAAACCACAAAAACCCCCAAAGAAATTGCAGAGCGTCTCTAACTGCACATCATTCAAAGCATTTGTCTGCCAGTTGACAAGAGCACGGCTCAGGTCAGCTCAGTGTCCCCATAGGAAGCCAGGTATGTCTGTGGTTATACTCCCAGGTCAGCAGAACATGTTCTGTAATTGCCTGGGATATGTGGAATTACCCACACGAAAAGCACCAGCAGATCTTTAATGACCATAAAGCAGTTCAGGTTCTGATTTAATGCCTTATCTGAAAGATATAAAATGTATGAGGAAGGGTGATTTATTGTGTTCCCCATTGACGTTGAAGCTAATGGGAAGCACGAAAAAGGTCATTTAAACTTTGTCACATCCATGTGGCTAATCTGAGGGCTGTGGCTGCTTCAGACACCAGAGCACATGCCAAGCCTCCCTACCAACTTCTGCTTAGTGAAGTGACATCTCCAAAGTAGACTCCAACACTTAGAGGTGATTCCAGTCCCAGGGCTGACATTTAACCCCTGCTGTGCCTAGGGCAGTGACACTGCCTGTCTCCGTCTTGCTTGATATTGCTCCCAGGTGTCATGTAAATCCTCTGTATGCTCCATGACCAAAGGTGGACAGAAAACAGAGAAATCAGTATGGTTAGCCTCAATTTTCTCTGCTTCTGTTCATACTCTTTGTACTGTAATCATAACTGCCGTGCCTACCTTCTGCAAAAGGACCCAGGATATTTGCATTTTCTTTGTCCTTACCAAAATCAATCTCTGTGTAATACAAGCTCTGGCAAATAATAAGGGCATTCTGCATGGACAGAAGAGACTAATACTACTTGGATGGTGCTGAAAGCAGACATGCTGTATCTTCGCGAAGGTCTTACAAAGAGCATCCAGCTCAGTATGACTTCTTTTTCCAAACATCTTCTTATTTTTTGGCTGTCTTTAGAGGACACGGATCAGTCTGTACTGCCCAGTCTCCAGTACCATCAGCACTTCCAGCTAACATGGTGAGTTTCGTGCACCCTTTATCTCCTAGGCCTTGGGGTTAGGTCCTCTGTCCCCTTGGATGTGGGTCAAAGTAAAACAGAATAAGGGAAATTAAAGCAAAGAGTCAGGGAGTGAAGATTTTGGAGATTTTGGAGACTTGACACAGAGTTCACTCTACTCTTCCAATTTTACGCTCTTTGCAGGCCTGGTGCTGGATGAAGTCTTGGAGGAACAGATGTGTGGTTAGAAGTTTCTTTTAACAAAATCCTTGAATGCATCAGGAATGGATTATACCTTATGGCCAGTGGCAGCCCTGGATTTGTGCATTCATCTCCTTCCAGTGGCAGAGAGAAGCATCTTACCTGTTGGAGGAAAAGCAGTGTACAGCACCGCCCGCTAAACTGCGTAATCTCATGGAAGGCACTGTCAGCATGGAAGCACCCATTGAGTAAACCTGTGATAACACTTCAGCTTCCATGGGGGAGAAAGAGTTTTCAGGTGAGGACAACTGCATGGTCCAAAGTTCTCCCATCTCACTGGTTTTGCCTAGTGGCCAGCAAGAGACACTGGTTGGCACCAGCCCACACACCAGACCCACCAATCATGGCTGCAGTTGGTGTGGATGAGACCTGCTGTAGACATACTTCTGTCCACACTGGACTTCTCTACATGTTTTGCCCATTCCAAAGACTGGACCCACGCCTCCACAAGGCAGCTTTCTCTCCTAGGAGTGGAAGAATAGCATACTGGATTCATCAACAACTTGCAGAAATTCCATGTTCTTGGCATCAGGAACAAAAAAAATAAGACATGCTGACAGTCTTTGGTTTCCTTCAAAGTCAGTGTACAGTATTTGCTGTGCCTGCAGCCTCTTAACATTCCCTGCATTTACCTGAGACCTTCTCTGGAACACAGGTTAGTGGGTTCCCTGCATTAGTGCGGAGAATACCTTGTTCAGTCCTCATTGCAGCTGGAGTGGTGGGTCTTGGAAATGAGCACAGGACTTCTAGAACAAACGGAACAACAAAATGTGATAATCGGACATTTAATTAGGGGGAATGTGTTTATAGTTGTCTGGGGAGAGCTGCTGCTCAAACAGCATGCAGTGAACTCGACAGGGCAAATGCAGGTAAGCATCATGAAGAGAGTACTGCAGTTTTAGTCTTCTAAAGAGCCCTGCTAGGGGAGACAGCTCACTCAAGAGCTGTGCCCAGTCTGTGTGGTGGAAATGGTGTCTTTCCTGCCATGAAATTTTGTGGATAAATCTCATTATGCAGGTGTGGCAGGAATCTGTCTTACAGATGTGTAGTAATGATGTAACTTCATGATGGTGTAACTTCATGAAGAAGAACTATAATCAGGGAGAACTGCCCATGGTGGTCAGTAGCATGTGGAGACCAGCAAGGGTCCCTTCTGGAGGAAATCTAGGAACCTCTTGAGTGCAGTGATAAATAAGTTGCAGAGAGGCTTAGCTGAGCTCCAGGAGTCTCTGGGGTTAGTCAGAGTGCACAAAGTTGCCTCTAGTACTCAGAGTGGCTGCCGTGTGTTCACAGTCCTGTGCAGTCTCTTGTGAGATGAGGCTGCTCCATGTGCTCAGCATGAGATGTACGTGAGCAGGAGGCAAAGAAAATACTTTTTTTCCTGTGCACAATACGTCTTGTGCATGACTGCAGGGTGATGTCTATACATTTTATGGACAGCGCAGGTGTATGCCTTTAGCCCAGGCAATTATGCATTTTTTTTTAGCCTCCAGGAACTTGTAACACAGTTGGAAAGAATACAAGTTTAAGAATACCTGTCACTCTACATCCTCACCTATCCTCCTGGTTCTTCCTCAGTTAATCACCCCAAAAGATGAGGTTTCTCTGGCAGCCTTGTGCAGACAATTAGTTTTGAGGATTTCTAGTGTTTTTAGGTCAAATATAAAGGTATAGTTAATTCCTGGTAGAATAAAGAAACAGAAGGTGGTCTGGCCCTTCAGTTTCACATCTAAAGTCCTGTAGCTGAAAATAAGAGGAAACCATCTATCCAAGAAGAAACAGGTCAGTGACTGTTCCTGTCTTTCTGTTGGTTTTAGGGGAACATTTCTACCTGGTTATCATTTCAGCATGTCACTTTAGGGCCAGCTGCATGGGGTGTTTCTTTGCCGTTGCCATCTCCTCAGACAGCAGAGGAGCTGGAATACGCTGCCTCAGTGACCCTAAGGCCATTTTTCTGCCTGTATTAATTCACCACCCCCAGGTGGAGACCTGATATCAGCCCTCCAAGATACAGGCCAGTATCAGGGGCTCTAGCTGATTCCCAGCCCTGTGTCTATGTTTGCAGGCTCATCTGCATGAGGCAGGTGACTTACTCCACCAGCTGCCTGCCAGAAACAGCACAGCCCTTCTGTGGGGACACGGAACATCTTCATCATCTTTTCAGCCAGCACCACAGCTACTACCTAAAAAGCTCCTGCCAACTGCAGCTGAACCACCACTTCTGTTTACTTCACCAGGTGAAGATGCTGGCATGCAGACTTGCACTTCTTTTCAAATCACGTGAGCCCATTCCTCTGCAAGATTGCCACTGCTATTTCTCAGCAGCACCCTGGGTGCACCTTACTTCAGATGAAGGACTGGCATCCCAAAAGAAGGAACGCACACGACCTGGTTTTGTTCTCTTATCATTTTGTATTCCTCTATGTTTCTCTCCTCACTCATTAATACCTATTAAATCCTTCATTTTTCCTACCAGACCCATTGTGCTGTTGTTTTCTTTTGGGCAAACTTCTCTGCAGCTGCAAAACACCTGCATTTGGGCAAAATAATGTGCAGCTGGAATCTTACTTGGCACACCTGGTGAACAACGTTGTAGGGTTTCATGTTGTTGTGATCTGCAATGAGCAGTGCCTGCAGCCCACTGCTTTCTCATCTCCTGTGGTTACCAGGAGTGACTGGCACTATCAGATGGCCCTGTGCTCTCTGGTGCCAATCAAGATCTCACCTTTCCTTCCTCACAGTAGGATGCTGCCTGCTTTTAGCCTCTGCCCCTTCTGCGGTGGCAGATGGTGTCTGAGTGGCAGGTTCACCAGGGAAAAGTAGCAGAGGTTTGTATGTGGTACTGTGTTTGCACCATGGATTGATCCTGGAAGCATGGAGTGGCTTTTTGCAAAACAGCCCTTGCCGTGGCTATGTGTGGCGTGCGTGTGCAAGGATGGTAACATAGCGTCTGTGGCCATGGGGACATTTGAGTGTGGCTGGTGAGTGTACCTGTTCGATGCTTGTCTGGCCAATGTGGAACGGTACGTCAGTGGGATTGCTGGCATCTGCTAATGTGTAAGCACCACTTGCAGTGGAATTCTTGTCATTTTAGATGTCTGTGATAGAGACATCCCCATCTGACATGTTCACCATGCCTTACCTTTATATAGCTAATGGAAGAAACAAGGCCACATTTAGGGCACTCTGCATCTGAGCTATTTTAGACGTCTCCTTCAGAATTCTTCTGGCAAACAAGATATCCCTTCTGTTTCCTTAAATGTAGTTTGTTTTCAGTAGAGTCTTCTCTTTCATGCAAGAGCTTTGTTATGCTCTCTGTTGTTCTGACATTGTGAACTGCCAGTAGCACCGACTCCACTACTGTGCAGTGAAGGGCCTCTTCTACTGGTAAGTGTAAGTTTTGTCATAGTACTGTGAAATGGATAAAAATGAGAGAAAAAAACAGTCACAAATAACTGTTTAGGGCCCGTATGCTCACCAGCTGAGCCTTCGACAGGCAGAAGGAGCAAAGCTCCTTGAGTGACTGGAATGTAGCTGTTGTTACAAAGCTCTGTAAGGCCGTTTAGGGCAGAGGTAATAGAAAGCTGGTCCATCATGCGAGTAAGCTCCATTGCAGTACGTAGTTAAAATTATAGCTATTGTTACTGCCAAAAAGTCAGTTACTGTCTGAAGACAAGGCTCCTTAAGTACATGCTTAAAAATGAGATCTACTTTGTGTCTACCCTGTGTTCAATCAGGGCTTTAGTTAACCTTTCTTTGCTCTAATAATTTTGCTCGTGTGTGTGTGAGAAAAGCCCAGATTCCCAGAACGGGAAGAGCCCAATAAAGCTGTCTTATAAGAGTTTGTATTCTCCCTGTCTATAAATTTGTGATGGCTGGAATAATTCAAAATGTTCCTGTTACTGGTCTCTGAATCTCAGCCACTGAGAGCTGGAGGAAAAGTGGTTTTGGAAAAAAGTGGTTTGGTAATACATCCTTGACTATAGGATTCACTCACAGTTCCCCAGGGACAATTTCCTGGTGCAGCCAGACTTTTCCTTCCCTCTGTGAAGGTTATTTCTTTTTTCCTTTTTTCGTTGAGAAGGAGGGTCGAAAGGCCTAGAGTTTAATGCTGTTACTTTGATTACTATTTGTTCTGTACAAACCTGGATTTGTTAACGTTTCAAGCTTAAAATCAAGATCATCTCTTTCTGATGTTACTGTTAAAGGCAGACATGCACACAGCTTATTTGACAGTAAATGTGATGGCTGTTAGTACTATGTCGAGTTTCCTAGGGGAATGCATTTAGATTTTAGGCTTTCCGGTATCGTAAGAATATTCTGCTCATTATTTGCTATGTTTATATTATGTTTATGGATAACTGTATGGCAGTACTAGCATAGAGCCCTGTTCTCACATGTGGTCCCAGCATGTAAGAAACAATATTAATGTAGGACAAGAAGATGAAGTCCCTCTCAGAAAACTTACAGAGACATCTACTGAGAAACAATTAAGTAGCAGTAGTCAACATGGTAGACAAAGCCTCAATATGCCAGCTTTCATAAGCTTATTTTTCTAGGTGCATATGCTTTATTTGGCCAGGTAGGGGCCACACTTTTCCTCACAGACTTTCCATCTGCTTTGAAGCCATAGCTCTTACTGATGCATGGGGTAGTCCTTTTGCACTGTGTTGTCACTTGTAAAGCCAAAATAACTTGTGAAGGCAAAGACCTGCGTTCCTCTGCCTGTATTCTCGGTTGTAAGCCAGACTTCTCAGAGCACAAATTTTGTGAAAAGGAATTTGTTCATCTCTTTCCAGCCTCGAGCACAAATGGAGCCCATGTAGGTTGATGAAAAATCTTAATAGGCAATCACAGTGTGCTTGTAGCTGTCTTGCTGCCCAGTATCTGGCAAACATATGGGCTAATTTCAGGCAAATTTGACAATGGGCAGAGGTATTAAAAGTAGGCAAGGTGGTATAAACTTTGTAAGAGGTGATTGAAGAGAGGAGAGAGTGGAATATAAGCATGTGAAAGTTTGCCTCTGTCTGTTAATCCTATCAGCTGGTAGGACAAAAGCAGCTTGGTTGGTGCTCTGTATTCTGAAGAAGAGGTGGTGCTACTTCTTTAATCAGTCAAATGTAATATAGCACAGTTATTTGGTTTCTTTTTTTTTTTAACCCTCCGAACCTGAAAAGTCCTCCCTACAGTCTCATACTGTAGCAGCATCATATGTTAGATGTACCTTGCTGCCCTTTTGTGAACTTTTCAAGTTCTTCTGTGCCCTTTTTTGAGATGGCGAACCAGGACTGCATGTTGTATTAAAGATGCTCTATTGATTAACAGAATGTCATAATGATACATTCTCTTCTGTGTTCCTCTTCTAATCAGTCTTAGCATTTTATTTGCCTTTTTGACCTCTGTTGGGCACTGAACTCTGATGATTACATGGCTCTGTAGCCCAACATCCGTATCTAGATATATTACCTCAAGATCGTTTTCAAGTGGTAATAATAATCTACAAGTACAACATTTAATATAAAACACTTCGATTTTTTTTTCAGTGGGTGCTTCATTTCACCTTTATCTCCTTTGAGTTTCTTTTTGCCATTTTATTGCTGCTATCATAGACTCTTCTTGTAGCTCTTTGCAATTGACCCTTTTACTACCCTTAATGACTTAGTATTCTCAGCAAGTTTTATCACCTTATTTTATCGCCTTTACAGTGAAAATTGGCCATTTACTCTTTACTGTATTTGAACACGTACATAAGAATGATTAATCTGTTATTGAAACCTAGTGATGATCAAGCCCCATGCTTCAGGGCATAAATTAATTACGACTTTTTAAATGTCTACAGCTATAAATGCTGCTGCTTATGAAATGGATGACCTTGTGGTCCTATTGTGGTAAGGGCTACAAAGATAGTAAAGGAACTGGCTTTATCATGACTTGAATTTAGTGAGAATTTTCATGAACGTATTAAAATTTGAATGCCTTTGAAGAAATAATACAACAAACTGGAAAATTACTTTTCTTGGACAATAATCGACCATTTGTATTTCAGGAGAAAATGAAGTTCCATCTGAAGATGCCCTAATACTACAGCTGCACCTTGCAAAAGGGCATGAGAAATTTACTGAAATGCTAAAAAGCCAACAGCAGATCATTGTCGATTTGCAGCAAAAACTTGCTGAACAGCAGCAGATATTGGTTAGCCAGCAACGGGAGATTCTTGAGCAGCAAAGAAAAATGTATGAGCAAATGGATCTGATCAAAGTCCAGTATGGCATGCTTTTTGATACAGTGAAACAAATGTCATTTCAGAGTTTGCAAGAAGATATTCAAAATTATTTTGAAAGTCATCTTCAAGGACTTCAGAACCAGGTCAGAAATCATCTCCAGAAGTCATACTCTGTGCATAAAGTAGAAGTGGATGCAAAAGTGATTAATGTTGGGGAGTCTTTGCTGGACTGTGGCCTTTGTGAAAGTGACGAATTTTGCAATTTCCAAAAGACACCTTCACAATGTGAAAAATGCACATTGTGTCCTGCTGGTTTTTTCCAAATGGCTGAGTGTTCTGCAAACTCTGATCGGATTTGCCAGGTGAAATATAATTCTGTGTCTTTCAATTATTGCTTATGAAGTATTGTGTTGGATATAGTGGGATAACATTCTGGAAATACCTACTTAGTGAGCTAGAGAGATGCAGTTTGAAGAATGTGCTTTGCCACATTATAGCACTTCAAAGTCAGTCTTTTGTGGGTTTTGTCTTTACTGTTTACTGCTCTAAATGGGGCACTAGTTTGTGCCTGCTGGGTATGATGCTTTCCCAAACCTGATGGGTGGCAGGACTTTTATTTTTTTCATAATGGTAGGAAAGGACATACTAAAACATTCATGCATGCTAAATTTGTTTATTTGATCCCAGTCCATTCTACAGGAACTTCTAGACATCTCTGAAAAGTAGAGGAAAGCTTTACTGAGCAAAACTAGAGGTCAGATATTTACTTGCAAGTTTTGAAACAAAAGCTGTCAGTTAAAACAAATGTAAAAACTAGTTCCAGCTTAAATATAGCATACTAACACATAAAAAAACTAGAACACAAATGTTTTTATTATTAAATGCATTTTATTATAAAATACATTTTATTATACAATACAAAAACAGCATGTAAGGAAAATAAGATGGTTCTTTGGTCACTTTGTCTTGTTTAGAGAACCTAAGATATATGGGGAAACTGATATTTAAAGCAGTGTCCTGTTTGCCAAGTGTTGCCCCCAATTCTTAGCTTAATATGAGCCTGAACAGCTGGTGACCTAAGCCCAAGATACTGAGAGGAGAACTTGAAAGAGTCTGTTCAGTTCCCTCTCTGCTAGCCTCAGTTTTCTTTAATGCTAGCATTTAAATGCAAATGTAGCATGTTATTCTTTCCCTTCTGCCTTCTGTAGGGTGAAAGGAGGGCTTGTTGGCAGGATGTACTACTTAATCATTTACCTTTCTTGTGTGTTTTTCGGTTAGCACCTTTTTCCCTGACTAAGTGTCTTTAAGAGCCTTTTCTAACACTCTCTTAATTGTCACAATGCCCTGAAGGCCAATCAAGTGATGCATTGCTCTCAGGGTTGTGGTACTGTCTTACAGATCACACATTCTAACAAGGACTAGTTGTACAACCAATCCATTTAGCTTGTCATCTGCACACTACTAGCTTTCTGTGGACACCGCACAGTCTTTTTGGATACCTTGTTAAAACAGGTGACAAATCCAAAATAAGTTGTCTTGTTCCAACACACTTATGAGATCAGCCCCCTCTCCATCCCCAGACATGCCTTTTGCTGGCAGATGGGTGTCACAGAGCCTGAAGAAGTGCCTGTCTCAAATTTAAGTTGTTGCGTTAAAGGGTTTCAATACGATTCTTGTGATTTACAGGACAGAGATGAATGCACCGAATCTCCAAGCATTTGTGGTGAGAGGATAAAATGCCTGAATACTCCAGGTAAGTTCTATTCTCTGATAATGAAAGAATGAAGGTAATTAGATCCTCAGGAACAGACCAAAGAGATAGATAAGGACTGAGGCCTAGATGTTTGTGAGTCATGACACGCTCAGCTTGATGGAGTCAAAGGGGTTGGAAAACACTGAGCTCTAAGTTGATAGCAGTTCTTGTGGACAGTGGGCTACTCTGGACATAATATCCACTAGGAGCATTGGATGGTTCCTTTTACCTTATTTTCCTGGGGTTTTGTATGCTCTGGTTTTAATTTTCACTTATGACCTGACTTTCTTCTTGTTTATGCTGGTGCAAATGGGTTCAAAATCAAAGATATTATTCCTAATGGAGAAAAATAGTTGTCATTTTCCTTCTGCTGCACTAGGGTAGATCTTTGATTTGATCTAATGAAGGTTCTTATAAGGCCTCCCTCAATCAATCTTACTCTCCTTTAGCAACAATATTGTCAAATATTGAGGAACTATCAACAGTTTCCCTCATTTGCAGGGGCTTGGGGGAATTTTTCAGACATTTAAGAACAGATTTGACTGGAGTTCTGCACTGCAGACATCACCTTCATTACTTCTCATGGCAGTCGGACACAAAAGATCAAAATTAATAGACATACTGAGCAAAAGAGCGTGGCCTTTCTGAGGGGCAAGGGCTATTTTCAGCTGTTTATGGGTGATTCTGTGCTATTCCTGGTACCTATTGGTCCTAGAAAAGGGTTAAAAGAGGACATGAGCTCACTTACATTCTCCTTACCTCCTCTGTGCAGGAACTGTGGTGGGTTGGGTGGTATTACTACAGATACCACAGGAGACTGGAAATGATTAGAGGAAGAAAACACTTAGTGTTGCTTTATGTCTAGAGGGAGGAAGAAAACACTTAGTGTTGCTTTATGTGTACAATGCAATAGAGGAGGAACCATCAGTCTTAAAAAAGAAACAAGACACTTTTAGACAGCCTTAGTGGTGGGCAGTTAGAGGCAAGACAGCTTAGGGCACAAAAATTGAGGCAGAGCATTGAAAAGTTGTAAGGCATTGTCTCTTCCATAGTAAGAGACTGAGTTTGGTTGAGTCAATGGTTTTGTGGAAGGAAGCCCACAAGGCTCTAGCCCGAGGAAAGGAGAGCCACCAATGTGGTAGTCATTTGGTGTTGCTTTAGTCTGTGGCTTGGAAGAGGGAAGGCTGTAACGAATTTATCCAGTGGGCTCTGTGGTGGGGAGACCCAGACCAAGAGTGAGTCTATACAACTGCTGGAGGAAAGCAAAATACTACCAAGAAACAAGCAGTGGTGGTGTGTCAGATCACAGAAAGGTAGTAGCAATGTATCTGAAAGGAAAGGACTCTTCCCTTGATTCCTCCAGTTCTAATGGTGGCTTGTAAAGATGGGAAAGCAAACTATTTCCCATCACCTGGATCAGGAATCAGTGTCCTGTCAATGTCGTTCCCATCTGTCATGGAAGTGAGATAATTCTTTTTATTTTTTATTTGAGAGGACTGATACTTTGAGCCTGTCTGTTCATGATGGCTCGTTGTCTTATACAAGTGCAATTAACTTGTCAAAAGGGAGGCTGAAACTGAGTGTCTGTTTTGGGTAATGTAGGGGAGATAGGGATTTAATCCGACATATGAGTTCCAGATGTTGTATGTGGCTTCTTGAGCTGCACGCAAAGGTTGTTGCATCTGTAGCAACTCATGTTCACTGTACAGTGTGAAGGGAGACAGAACAAATAACAATAAAGAAACATGCAACTAGGAGCCTCTCTTTCTTCACCCTTCCACTTCACTCTACATCATACTTTCTTCCCCTGCTGTTTTTTCTTGCTTTTATCTAGGATGAGAGTTGTTAGGCTATTTGATTAAAGGCTGGTCATCAAGGAGCAATGACAGTTGAAAGAACCCAATCAGCGAAAATGGAGTTCAGTGCTTCGATTCCTTCTTAGACAATCACAGGAGAGTGGTCAGACTGTTGTCTTTGGTGTGAACCCACCAGGTGGGTTCAACCAAAGTCGATCTCCTCAGAATGCCATGCAAGCTAAAGAGGACTTACTGTACAACTTAGCGTGAGATGTAAGGAGAAGAGGAGTGAGAACATAGACAGATAGCCCTGATTTGTAATTAGCTCTGTTGCTTTGTGATGATCCAAATCTGACATAGAGGGTTTAAAAAGAGATGGATTCCCATGCTTAATCTGTTTGAATGTCAAGTTTGCATCAGGCAGTTATGAGTAGTAACAGCAGAAAAATATATGCATGGCTTACTCTAATTGCCTTGAAATTGCCTGGCCTTTGTGGATGGTGAGGGCTGGTGAATGTGCAATCATGATGTGCTATGATTTGCTGCTTGACCTCTTCTGGGCAAAGGGCAGGATGCTGCTCTTGCCACTGTGTCCACAGTATAAAGCAGCCTGTGTCACCTATTTGAAGTACATGCCGGGGGTATACCTGCTGCAGATTAGTGGTTAACAAAAGACTAGACAGCAAATTGGTGAGAGTTGTCATCACATGTATTTGAAACACCTGATATGTACAAAGATCCTTAAATATACATTGAAATATTTTAAAGAAGCAAATAGCATAGAAGTATTTCTAGGCACTACTGCGAGTCTTCTCTGCTCAGTGAACCAGCTGTATTTGTGTACTCAATAGCATTTCTCAGTGGTGGAGGAGCCATGGATAAGAGAAATAGAACTGGTTAAGAAGTGTCATGTAAGCAATTACACTGTGGTTAAAACTGATTTCAAAAGCAAAGTTTGTCTGGAATTTTTTTGTCTGTATTCTCTAGAATGTTCTTAGCTGAAAAAATGTGATTTTATTTACTTGGCTTTCAGGGGTAACAAAGTGTTAAGTTTCTCTTGACTGTTTTCTAATAGAAAAATCTGCAGTGAACTCTTGAGAAAATGATACCTGTTCTCACAAGGAATGCTCTCACATCATAAATTGTATAGTCCTACCTATCAGTGTTAGTGGAGAATCATCACATAAGTGAATGAAACATAAATAAACAAAGAGATATGAGGGTGAATATATAAAGCCTTTATAAATTAACACAGTGTCTGCTGTTCTCTGATGAACAATGTAGTATCAGAATTGAATTTTAGCCAATATTGTGACCTCCCTTGTGGGCCAGGTGTGTGTACACTGCTCTGTCTTGCAGTTTGCATTATGGGTGGTGTGCTTTTCTGTTTGCATCAGCAGGCTGCGTAGCCAGCTCCACCGTGGGGTTAGCAATGGAGAAAAATGGCTTGTTGGGGTCCATGTCAAATTCTTGTAGTCCCAGTCTCAGAGCAAATTCCAGCCCAGATATAGCAACTTTCTAGCTGAGGAATAAATCAAATATATGACACAATATTTAGATAGTAAAGAATATTTAAGAAGAGCTCTAAGAATGATGATTATTGAGTTTTGATTATGGTGGTAAAAAAGCAGGAGAGAGTGCATTAGCAATTAAGCTTTGAGGCCCAGGTTATTCTTTAGGATGCCTCAAATCTTTTATGTTGATTTAGAACCTGAAGGCTCCGTGCACAAAGGTTTTGGGCACCGGTTGCTACAGCTGGAGGCATTGGCAGCTGGCGGTGCTCTTGGAAAATTGCCATAGAAAATTACAGGCCTTTTTAAAAACCTGCTCTTTGGGTGTGCGTTCTTTGATCTACCGAGGTCATGGTGTACCATTTAGCAGCACAAAATTGCTTTATGTCAAATAAAGTAATTTCAAGTGGCACCTCTAGATATTCTCTTTACTGTTTGCAGCAGTGTTTTATTTTAACTTTAGACTGTCACAACCACTGCTGTCCTGTCTTGTAGGGCAGTGGTTTTCCACATTTTTAATGTGTGGACTTCGGCATAATGATGTTACAGCTGCTGTTTACAATTTTGTTTTTCCTACTTATCTCTTGGAGATTCTTTTATGACTGTACAGAGAATGCCCAGGGTCCATGTCCCTTGAGTTGCAAAGCACTGCTTTAGCAATCACAGCCACAGCAGTGATGTGCCATAACATGGCTGGGCAGGCAGAGCACATTTCTCCTTGTATAGGGGAACTCTTCAGTAGTTGAAAGTATCTTTGGTGCTCAGCACACGAGTTAGTCAGTGTGCTTTTCACCTAGGGGAACAGAGAGAAGGCCCTACCAGCAATATAATTGTCAGGGTTTGGTTAGAATTGCCCCTGTGCAGCCCTATTTTGCTCCTTTCCCACTCTAGACCACTGGATTCTACTTGGACAAGGTGAGTTACCTCTAGTATTTCCTCTGTTTGCTCTCAAGGATCCTTTAATAGCACAAAGTGATCTAAAATCATAATTGTCTTCTGTTGTCTCTCTTTTGATCAGATGTATTATCAAATATACTTGATAGGTCGAGCTGTAGAGTTCTTAGATTTATTGTTTTAAAGGTATGACAGTAAAAGTTGTCTGTTTCCTGTAAACAGGTGGTTTCCGATGCCTTGGAATTGCTGAGAAAGATGCAGCTTTGGGACTGTGTGGAGAGGAGTATTTCTTTAATAAGGAAATGCAAGAATGCCAGGCGTGTTTAAAATGTGAAGAGGGAATGGTGGCTGTGCCTTGCTCCACTGTCAGTGATACGATTTGTTCAGCAACCAGTGAAAACAAGCTCTCAGAGTCTTGGGCTGCAAACATCATCCTGCCCTCCGTGAAGTCCAGCATCTCTCAGGTCTACTCCGGCTTGAACTTGAAGATAAAGGGAAAGCTTCCCTGTGAAATCCTATCCGTTGAAGATAACAGCCTGGTATTTAGGCAACACGGGCTGTTGTGGACTGACCTAAATTTTGCAGTGAAGCACAACTGCAGGAATTTTTTGCAACTTTCCTTAAAGCTAAACGGCAGTGAGGAAGGCTATGAACTGAGCGGTGTTCGCATTGAACAGCCAGAAGGGAAGTATTTCCAGAGCACTAGTTTAAGCACTGCTGCTGAAGTGGAGCCCAGCCAAACTCTTTCTGTGTATTTGAGGAGCCCCAATCAATTCTGCAACCAGAGTAAAGACTTAAATATTTATGATCTTAATACCCCACTCAGTTTGTTTTGGTTGTCCCACGACACAGGTGCTGTGGCGCTCAGTGCACAGATGTCCACAGCAATACATTACCAAACCAACTATCGACCTACCTTTAAAATAGTATCTGTTTCTGACCCTTACATGCTAAGTTTATCTCATGATGGCAGAGCTATAAAGTTCACTGAAACCGGTGTTGTCAAATTTGTATTCCACCAAGCATTGTATTCCATGGGTCATACGTGTGTCCGGGAGGGCTTCTCTTTAATTTCTTATATCAATAGGAATGGCACCAACAGAGAATTAATGAATGTATTTAAATCTGGCGTAAATTACAGAGACACATCAATATCTGCTGCCGGGGCCACAAAAGTTGGTGCTGGAGATCTGATTAGCTTTGAGATACTTTCTCCTGCACAGTGTAATGTTCGGTATTTTGGAGATAGTTCTGGAATTAGTATGTTTAGCCTCATCTGGATCCCTTCAGCAGTTTCTAGTGCCATATCAGCCACAGTTTCTGTTACGGGTCTGCCTACAGGAGCTGTGAGAAACAAGTTACTGGATTTCACCCAGGTCTCATCCAATGAGAAGCAGATACAGCTGGTTTCTTCTGGACAGCTTGCTCACAAGTATTTCATTTTTACTGAAAAGGGAGTTGCCAGCCTTGCGTTTAACTTAAAGCTAATCCACTCATGCAATGTGCTCAAAATGACTCTCAATCAGTTGACCAGGGATCACATGCAGCCCACGGCGATTGCTCAGCAGATTGGAGGTCAGATGCCAGAGGGAAGCATATGGACCAGCGTGTCCCTCCGTGCGTCTTTTGAAGTACATAATGGAACACTGATATCAGTTTCTCTTGACTGTGTGCGTGGAAGGATCAATCAGATCACTCGTGAACAGGGAACCAGTATATCTATATTATGGATTTCATCTTAATTTATGTACAGTGAGGGCAGCACAGAACTGGGGTTTAAATTGCATTTGGATTCTACTCTGATTCTACACGTATTTGACACCTTATACTGTGTTGACATGGGCAGGTTGTCCCACTAAAATGCTCTCAATTTTAGGAATATTTAACTATAATCTTAATTGAATGATCAGTATTTAAAGAAAAGAGAGCTTTCAGTGCTCCAAGTTTTACTTCTTTTAACATCTTCAGGCAGGGGAACTTTGCATTCAGGTCAAACTCTCTTATTTTTAATAAAGCAGTCTCTTAAAATGGGTTATTTCTGGACCACAAGAAATTGCAGGTGAAGGTGAATACATACCTTTTAGTACTGCAACTGAAAGCAGCGCAGCCAAATAATGGAAACCTGCTTTTAGTTTCTTCACTGCAGCAGGCTAATAGCAAGACTAAATGCACTTTGAGGCTAATTTGTCTACATCTTATAAAATGCTGTGCTTCCTATAAATGCAGAGAACATGCCTCGAACTAGAGGCTATACTGTGGTGACACTGGAGTATACATGCTTAGCATTATAGAAATGGACATGAGTCAAAAATTGAACATTCTTTTTACAAAATATAGTAATTGCTGTCAGCAAAAACATTAGACATAATGACTGTTCTAATTTAATTTGGAAATCTGCATTTGAGTAATTGGGGAAGGTTCTTCCCCATTTTTAGTTTTTGCCTCTGAAAAGTTACAGGATGAAAAGGGAGGAATTCTATGCTAAGAAGTAACATTATGTAGGAGCAAAGAAATGAGTATTAAAAGAATGTCTTGAAAATGAGACTTTGGAAATTAAGCAAATTTTTATTTAGTTTCTTACAAATCAAAAAATATTTTTCTGACCAAAAAGGAACACCATTCACAAACATACTTATTTTGCTGAACAGGTACTTATTTTAAAAAGGTTGTTGTTATTTTTTTTCTTAAATCACTCAGTTAATTCAAAAAAGATATATTCAGTGACACTGATTTTTATCTTCTTCCAATTCTTCCATCAAACTGTTCTTTTTCTAATCTATGTCGAGTGTTCTCTCTCATTTTCTCCTTTCTCCTCAACAAATGCTGCTTCACCCTCCATTCTCATTTCTTTTGTTAGGAGTCAAGTCATGCCCTGTCACGTAGCTCAACACTTTCCAGCCTTCTTTGACCATCCCTACTAAAGAACAGGTGTATGTATGTCACATATGCAATTAGAGAATAGTGACATTAATAAGGCACTCGAGGGCTGCCTTATATCAAACTTATTGAAAGAAGGAATACTATGCACGATTTAACTTTAATGTAGATGTCTGCCTGAGTATGTATATCTAAAATATATGCACTTCCCTCTGCTCTTCACCTGTTTTGGGGTTTGTCACACTGCTTTTGCTGTTTAGTTTCCTCCTATAGTTTTCTCTGGAAGCGCAAACTCCTATTTTTACTTGTAACTTTCTAACTGCATCCTTAACACTTGCAGTTCCCTTTCCCTCATCCTTTTTTCTTCAAGTTTATCCTGAAAGGTATGCAGGCTTTGGACAAGTTGCTCTCCTGCTCCAAATGGCAAACAGCAGTTTTTCTTGCTTTCAGCTGCAAAGGCTGAGCAGTCCATCACAAGATACCTCACTGGACGTTGTGTTGAAGCTGGCATAAGTGTGCAAACCACAGTAAATTCAATCCCAGTGTCCCTGAAGTCTGTGACAGAGGTCTCGGTGCCTCTGTGTAACCAGGCTCATTCGTTCTTGCAAGGACGTAAGGAAGGACAGAGTAAAGCTAATATTAACGATGTTCAACATTTGTGAAATATTGTTCCAGAAGATATTTTGTAGTGGTAGAGGAAGACTTCTGGAATGAGAACACGTGTATCTATTATGTACAGAAGAGTTGCGTTATCTGTGTGTGGAGGAGTTTTTCTGGATACTTCACTCTGGAAGTCTACTGAGATTGAACAAAGATGAAATGGCACAGGAGTTAAACTTTTCTGACATATCCATCTGCTTAGTAAGGCAAACTAGTGAAATGATTCCTAGGTGATATCAAGGGCACCATATATTCTCAAACTCCTCTCTATAAAGAGGTGATTTCGTGAGAATGAGGTCAAAGGGCTTTTTCCTCACAGAAGCAGGTAGCTCATTTCTGTACAAGGATGCACAGGACATAAAGAGGAGCTCTGCAGAGAGCAGGCCTGGGTAAAAAAAGTAAGACTAAAGTAAGACTTCAGGGGAAGACAGCTGAAAAGTTTTGTTTTAGAGGAAGTTAAGAAAGTCACTTTCTCACAGACAAACCCCCTTACTTTTCTGTTTTGCTCAATGCAGTTCTGTTAAAGGCTGCCACTCCCCAGTATAATGACAACTTAAGAGCCATTCTGGATTTAAACCTGTGTAGCAGATCTCAGAATCTGATGTTAGACATAATCTGATACCTCTTTAGCAAAGTCCAGATGTTACTTGAATATAATGAGCACTTGCCTATGTATGGTATACAACAAACCTAATGGCATAATTTGTATGAGTATGCTTTATTTGAGCGAGATTGTGGTGTCAGTGGAATTGCTTGAATATGGAAGAGGCTGATGCTCAAATCCTGTATTACGCACGTTGGTGGTAGTTGCATTTCAATGCACCGTTATTAAGGGATGCAGGAACTACCAGGGAGAACATTATTACAAGTGAACATTATCACAGCTAAGGGAGATTGCAGAGTATGAATTCTTTAGTGTAGTAAGTCTTCTCTGAGGATTTTGGGAGGAGTGCCCATAGTTGCCCTTAAGTTCAGAGTAGATTTTTAGACGCACAATGGCAGAAATGCAGTATTTTGCACCCTTCTGGTGGTGATAATGCATCTATTACTGTTTTGCTAATGTCATCTGTGATAAGGTACTCACATGATTGAAAAAAAAGTCTTATTAAATATGTAGTATTAACTGTAAGTTGCAGCAAGCTTAGACTTATTTCAAGCAAGAAAAGGCTGATCATTTGAGCCTCTTCTGCATCCCTCCCTTTTGGAAAAAAAAAAAAGCCTGAATCCATAGTTCAGGCCACTGGCTGACCTTGGTTATAGTAACACGAATGTGAAGTGTGTGTGTTGGAATCAGTGTGGTTTTATGATAGTCTAATTAATGGCACAGTATATAGCCTTTGCATCTATGACAATGATATATATTGCCTCATACCATGCAACGTTAAGTGGTGCACTATGATCCTAAATAAGATGAAGTTCATGAGGCATCAGACAATATACAATGAATGCTAATTTTATGGCACTTAACCCATTTGCTGTAATAAATTGCATGTTGTATTGACAGGTATATCTTATTAATTATATTTACAACCTTTAAAACTTTTTAAATTCATTTTTTCATATGGTTTCTTTCTATTAGTAGCACAATAGTAATACTGTGAAGTATGGAATTAATTAAAACCTTTTCTTTTGCATCTTTTGATACCACATTCACAAATACGGTTAAAATAGCTGGAGATTAGTCTCTCCAGTCCTTTCTGCCAGAGAGCGTTTCCAGTGGGGGTATTCATAAAGTAAGAGTATGGGGCTGACAGAATCTAGCTGTACAGAAAGAGTTGAAGTTAATACATCCAGGAAGGCAGGTGGTTATTTCATTTATGTTCTGGCAATAATGGGCAACAAGGTTGTTAGAGAAAACATGACCATTAAAGGAGGAAAATAATTTAGATTGTATAGTGCTGCTCATACTAGAGGAAAAAGGATTTGGCTTACAAAGACCTGCATTGATTTGTATTGTGAAACATTTTGAAAATTCAAAGATTTTACCTGAATATATTTTATTACCTATATGAATGTTTTGTGCTTTCTATGGAGTCAAAACTGGGCAGAATATGTTAAATATATTTTAATATTGTGAATGCTTCCTCTGTTGTGTGGTCTCTGCAGATTGGAGTACACTGTGAAAACTACACTAGTTTCAAATGGTGCTTTTTTATGAAATTTCCTACTTTGAAATATTACTTTGTTTCACAAATACTGTTTAGACACTTGCCTCTGTTAATATTATATTGTAATATGTTTTAAGAGAACTTTACTGAAATAAATAAAACAATAAGGCTTCATTGGTGTTTATGTTCTGTTCTGAGGAAGGCTAATTGCCGCTGTTGTGATTTTTACCACTGACTCTTTTGGGGCCAGGATTTATTTCACGGCTGTTACCCGAATTGATTACCTGTGTTTGCTGAAGTGTTAAGCGTTAAACAAGGTCAGTAATAGCACACATTTTTAGAGGTGATCTAGTCTGCCTGTTCCCACTGTTGGAACTGTACATCTGAGAAGATGAAAATGGCATTTGATGGTACTACACTAATAAATACTTGTGTCAGAAAAGCAGTACAGTTTATCTTGGTCATTGCTGTGGTCACCATAGTAATGCAGAGAAGAAAAATGAGAATACTTTTGGTTTTTTGAAGAAGAAATGTGTACTGCCTTGGTGCTTCATAGAATCTCTGTTGAATGTGGAAACTTTGATAATGGCGGGGGGGTTATCCTGGTCAGACCTCTGCAGTAGCCCAGCTGGGCTTTTCTCAGGGTCTGTGCAAGTTAAAGCTCGTGTATTCTCAGTAGAGATGCTTTACAATTATTTTAAATTACACACCTGCATTCTTTTATTAGTTATTGTTTATTAGAACTGAATGAAAGAGAAGTGCTACCAAATGACTTCTGTAGGGATAATTTTTAAACAGATTACTCCAAAGAAGGATTTGAGACCAGCTGGTATTTCTTTCAGCCTTTTCCACTGAAAGCAAAAATGAGAAATTTTATATGATGTGTTTTTCACCTACTGCATTTGTATTGATTTGAAGGGCTCAAAGAAATAATTACGATAAGGAGAGAATTACAGAGGTCATTAACATAGCCTAAATTAGCCAAGGAAGAAATTCAGAGGAAGGAGAAAAGAGTATTTGTGAAATATTAGTGAAAAAGGAACCATCCTCCTCCAGGCTGCATCTAAAATTGCCCCTTCTGGCCTTCAGCAGCTGGTATGGTTTAAGACCTTTCCAGAACAGCCCAAACCATCTTGATCTCTGACCATTGCGTGCAAGGGCTCTCTCAGATTCACCCGCTGTTTCTCTTCAGGAGTCTGACCTTCCCTTGTACAACATAGGTAGGTGTCTAGAAGCATGCTGTGTGACTGAGCGTGGCTTCCCTTCCTCTGCTTGGAGGGTTTGCCTTAAAATAAGGCTCAGAAGGTATTACCTGTGGTTAGTGCCCATGCTGCTGTGGTAATGCTGCCTGAAAAACCAGGCAGTGAGTGGGCTTCAAAACAGCTATGCTGCCAATTTGATGGATCTCAGCAGCCCTGTATCTGTACATGTCTGACCGTCTGGCTTCTGATGCCTGAAAGGCAAATGACTGCTCTTGGGGAGATCCAAGAAAGTCTTGTTTGCATTAAATAACTGAACCATCATCGCTGAAATAGAGTTTATTGGCCAGCTGCAGTGTGTGTAGCTTTCTTCAGGCTTTCCTTGGAGCTCCGCAGGCATGTTGGGACCTGCAGGATTGCATCTTTTGTTTATAGGCTCTTCAGAGGAGAAACTGACTGCTCTCCAGACAGTCTAGTGCGATCCTGTTAAATGGCATCTCTTGAAAGTAGCCTTAAAAGGCTGGATGTAATTTCCCCGCTAGAAGGGTGTTAATGCCTGGCTTTAGCAGAAACTTGAAATAAAAGCCTGTCGTGTTAAAATATATATATATCCTTGGGTTAAATAGCATTTTCTCTAAAAGAAGAAATGCAGAAAAAGGATTTTCAAAAGTTTCTACCTCCTCTTATGAAAACAATTTCTCTGGCTTTCCCCTTTGCCTTTTTTTTTCCACTGGAAATCTAGAGGAAAAAAAGGAAAATAAGAAAGTGAAAGTGGGGGGAATGGAGATTGAAGGGGAGAAAAGTGGGAGAAGGAAAAAGCAATCTCTGGTGTTTCAGTAATTTAATGTATGAGAATTTAAACTAGTTTACTTCAGAACTTTCTGAAATAAATTCTTGTTTTCTCAACCAGTTGTAATTGAAAATTTGTTCAACTGAAAATGAATTGTATCACATTTGGCTTCATTTTTGTCTCTTTTCATCAAAGCACTTCCCACCCATCAACTTCTGTAAACTTCAATAACATTAGAGTATTTTGAATATGCTTAAGTGTTTTGCTGAGCTGGAACATTAAGTTGGGTAATTGAGTTAATTAAGTGCCAACATATATCGGGAAACCTCTGGATATGCTTGTGGGTTTTGGCATGCAAACATCAGTTTTCATCATTACCTTTAACTATGTTTGTTTTGGTAACTGGTTCTCATTAGATAAATGAGGCTTCTCTGAGCTCCATGTTACCATCACTTGGCTGCTGATGGTACCTAATGTGGCTCATTTAAGTCTCCTTTGGGTATTTTTCTATTATACTGCAGTCAACAATGTAGACATGCACTAAGTATCTGCAGGACCTCCGTACTTGTGGGATGTCGACAGTGTTCTTGTCACAGTTAGTTTTTCCTGACTTGTTTCATTGTTTTAAATCACAAGTTGAAATGGGTTCAGGAGTCCACATGATAGATACGGGCTTTCAAAGCGAGTGTGACCTGGTGAGTGATTTAGACTGGTAATCACATCTGAGTTGCATGATTGCAGCCTTCTCTTGCAGAATATAAAAAACTTCTGAGAATAGTCATAGATTAAATGCAGGTGTCTTGAGTAAAGAGCTGGAGATGCTTTGCATCAAACTCAAATAAAAGCCTCGCACTCTACTCAGAAGGTCAAAAAAGTAAAAAGATTTAGTATATACTGTAAAATACGCTGTTTGTTGAAGGAGAAGTACAGTTGTTGGTTTTATTAGGAGAGGAGAATGAAAACGTGTGCTTTATGCCAGGTCGATAAGACAAATTGCTTAAGATGCCTTTATGCTTGAAAAAGCTCTGTGCTTCACTTTTGCTTGAACACATATCCAGACTTACTCTCCAGACCCCTCACCAGCTTTGTTGCCCTTCTCTGGACCCGCTCCAGCACCTCAATGTCTTTTTTGTGGTCAGGGGCCCAAAACTGGACACAGTACTCGAGGTGAGGCCTCACCAGTGCCCAGTACAGGGGGACGATCACCTCTCAGGTCCTACTCACCACACTGTTCCTGACACAGGCCAGGATACCATTGTCCTTCTTGGCCACCTGGGCACACTGCTGGCTCATGTTCAGCCGACAGTCGACCAACACCCCCAAGTCCTTTTCTGTGGGGCAGCTCTCCAGCCACTCTGCCCCAAGCCTGTAGCGCTGCAGGGGGTTGGTGTGACCCAAGTACAGGACCTGGCACTTGGCCTTATTGAAACTCATCCTGTTGGTCTCAGCCCATCGATCCAGCCTGTCCAGATCCCTCTGCAGAGCCTCTCTACCCGCCAGCAGGTCGACACTGCCACCCAGCTTGGTCTGTGAACTTACTGAGGGTGCACTCCATCCCCTCCTCCAGATCATTGATAAAGATGTTAAAGAGAACAGGTCCCAGTACCGAGCCCTGTGGGACACCACTTGTGACTGGCCACCAACTGGATTTGACTCCATTCACCACCACTCTCTGGGCCCGGCCTTCCAGCCAGTTTTTAACCCAGTGCAGAGTATACCCATCTGAGCCATGAGCAGCCAGTTTCTCCAGGAGGATACTGTGGGAGACTGTATCAAAGGCCTTGCTAAAGTCCAGGTAAGAATGATGGGAATCATAACAGCAGCATTTGATATTTGATATCAGCACAAGATAGCTAAAGCATGCAAACCCCCCGGTGTTTTGACTGGCCTCAGAAGTTCCTTTCTTTGGTTAAAAATGGAGGTAAAAACTCTTATAATGCTGAGAATAAATATATATTTTTATCTGCCTAGCTTTTCTCCCTTTTATTTGTGTATCTCAAACTAAGGCAGCAAACAGCCTGCTTTCCTGTTGTACTTTGTGGACTTTGGTGCACCACTCACCTGTAGGCCTTGTTCTCAGTGCCCACTCTAGAAGTATATACATTCACAAACAGATTCAGATAGTTCTGGTTTTCATACCAGGAAACAATCTGGAAACAATACCCCCATCCAACTTGACCATGAATGTTTCCAGGGATGGTGCATCTACCACCTTTCTGGGCAACCTCTGCCACTGTTTCACTACCCTCATTGTAAAAAATTTCTTACTTATATCCAGTCTAAAATGACCCTCTTTTAGTTTAAAGCCATTGGCCCTTGTCCTATTGCAATAGGCCCTGCTAAAAAGTTTGTCCCCATCTTCCTTGTGGTCCCCCTTTAAGTACTGAAAGGCCACTATAAGGTCTTCCTGCAGCCTCCTCTTCTCCAGGATGAACAACCCCAAGTCTCTCAGCCTGTCTTCACAAGAGAGGTGCTCCAGCTCTCTGATCAGACTCGTGGCCCTCCTCTGGACTTGCTCCAACACGTCCATGTCCTTCCTGTGCTGAGGACTCCAGAGCTGACACAGTACTCTAGATTGGGTCTCACCAGAGTGGACCAGGGGACAGAATCACCTCCCTTGACCAGTTGGCTATGCTTCTTTTGATGCAGCCCAGGATACAGCTGTCTTTCTGGACTGTGAGCACACATTGTTGGCTCATGTCTAGCTTTTTGTCCACCAGTATCCCCAAGTCCTTCTTGGCAGGGTTGCTCTCAAACCCCTCATCCCCCAGCCTGTATCGATAGTGGGGGTTGCCCCAACCCAGGTGCAGGACCTTGCACTTGGCCTTGTTGAACCTCATGAGGTTAGTCACAAATACCTTTTAAAAAAACTATTTTGCTGAAGCCTATCATAAAGATGATTTTTCTCCCAACCAAACTTATTTAGGTATGGGATTATAGCAGCTACAACGTCTAGAACAGTTTATGGCTTTTTTGAAGTTATGCCAGAAGCCATTTTATTTCTAGTTGCTCTTAGGGCCATGAAAGTGTACAACTGGATTAAAATTTTCTTTCTAGCAACCTGCTCTGCTCCACACAGCTCATCTGGTATAAATCCAGCAGCATTATCAGGTTCTGAGTTGGATTTATAAACAGTAAGAGTTCCAGTGCACAAAATAAATGGAAGAATCCTTGGTACCAGCT